AGCATGTCGACCATCACTGAATGCAAAGCATAGGACTGAAGGTTTGGGAAAACACATGGTAATATAGGACTTGGTCTTGTTTGATCCATTACAAAGCCATGCTTGGGACTCAGTCACAGGCTAACACAGGAATTCTGTACTTACAGGCATGACAAAGGTCTTTAGGTGTCTGATGAAAAAAAAAATCTACAAACCCTTTTCACTAAAAGTGGTTCTCTGGTAAAAGACTAAGAATGCTTATGTTTCATTTTGAGTTTTTTATTTACATAAATATATTTCATAAATGAAATGTTAATAAGACCAAAAATAGATCTGAAGAAACTAAACTGCATAAAGCCAAACAGTGATGACATATTTGTAAATACATACAAGTAAAATTTCTGCATGTCTTCTCAACTTTATATATGTGGATAGTTACCGTATCTCTTTAAAAGCTGTATATTTCTTGAATCGAGATTCAAATCATATGGCAAGTGGGTTGGAAACCCCAGGTACACGTGTCAGGGGCTAGGGCACCAGGCTAGGCTGGCACACTGTTAGGCCAACTGCTGGACTGCTGCTTGGCATAACTACAAATCTCTCTTGCCGGAGGCTCATGTTCCAGCTCCTGACTGAGCCCCACCATGTGCCCTGCATGGATTTGGGCAGGCAGGCAGACAGGAAGGCACAACTGGGGATGGTTGAGCAATGAGGGGCTGCTGTGACCACAGCTGGTGCCAAGGGCCTGGCACACAACCCACCCTTTCCCCTTCCTCCTCCTTTGGCACTGTAGCCAGAGATTGCAGGTATCTAAAACATATTGTAACTGATTCTGTAAAGTTTGCCTATTTTGTTACTAATTTTTTTTTTCAATTTAAAAATTAATTATCTCTGTACTCCAGGGAAAGGACAATATTTCCATCACCTATTTTTCCCCAAGGACAACAGTACACATTCTGGTAGACACAATTTTCAGACACATCAAAGTGCTTCTAAACTTTGGAAAAGAGACTAGTGCAGAACAGATAGAAAATACGTACTATGAATAGCAGTTAACTGTTATTATTCTAGAGAAGCATTTCTGAGTAAGGCAAGGGGGCTTTGAAGTTTGTGTTTATGCAATAGCATTCACACATATGCACACATTCTCTTTTTCACTTGCTGGAACTATTTACTCTCAAAGTAAACAAACCATTTTTAAATTCACAAAATAAATATAGAAATCTTAATGTGCATAAAGTAAATGATACCACTGTTTTGGTTCCATCAAGAGCTGGGGCTCACCTCAATTTTTCTCTAACCTTTTTCTTCTTCTTCTTTTTTGTTTAATTTGTTCTCTAACCTTATCTCGATTCCCAATTGAAGGAGTCAATGACCTAATTCTGTTCAGTTCTAAGGCAACATGAGAGCTAGTTCTGAATATCTCTTCTTGTCTTGCTGGGATTGCAGAACCCCAAGTCATTATCCCCCTTCAGCATTAATCCTGTGATCAGCTCTAACACTACTCACCAACCCTTCTGTCAGCTTGTTGGAGAAGCATCTTTAGCTCCTGCCAAGTAGTGAACTAAAAAGTTTAATCTGGTTTACATTTTTAAGGTCAAAGTGGGGGACAATGCTATTGATCTGGAAATAAAAGAAAAGGAAAATTGCTTGTTCTAAACCTTAGATTTCTGGTTTATTTCCTGCCCCATCTCTTCTCTAAGTTGCTCTAGATATGTTTTAGCCTCACATGGGACTTGTGGTCTTGTCTACATTACCTCAAAATTTTAACTCCTCCTCAAGATACATACCCAGTTTTCTCAATTCTTATATTGAATGGCTTGCAAAGCAAAAATCTTTCCAAGTTCTCAACCTAACAATGAAACACTAACCGAGGAATTCATTGACAGTCCCCAAACTGGCATTATTCAATGATGGAAATAAAAATGCATACATAAAATCCTGGCCAATTTGCATGCCCCATTCTTCAACAACAACAGAAACGCTAACTATTTTTAACCCGTGACTGTGACATGCATTTGTTTTTAATAATGTCTCAGTTTTACATAACCATGCATTCAAGGTCTTTATCATTCAAGGTACATGAAGGTTGTGCATTTAATCTTTAGCATGGTTGTAGTAGATATGATTCACAGAGTATAGGATAGATAAAAATAAGCATGCAGCAGCATGGTGCCAAATCATCAGAATTCACCATCTTATCAACAAATGGAAGTCATTCTTCTTTATTTCTTGAGAAAAGCAGTTTCATATAAGATAAATAGCTTTCAGTCACAATAGCCTAACATGCAATATGCATCTTTTTGACATGTATATTCTAATACTACTTTAGACCTGAAGATTAAAATAAGAAAAAACTTAGGGTTGTGTGTTGACAAGTAACACTGTTTGAATCTTCATTTTTCTATTTTTCATCTTGCAGAACTTAGCTCTGTATCTGATGTTTGTTCATTATTGGCTGTTATTCAGTGATCAGCTTCTCTTGACCTTCAAGTACCATTTTCTAAAGTTTTGTACAAAGAAAGAGTTTCCAGGAGTTGTCTTTTTATGTATATATCAAACATCAGAAGTCACCTCATGCTTGAACATATTGTGTGTTGTTGTTAGAGACCTAGATATAGTGGAACATGTTTCTAATAGACTTAAGAGACTAAGTTGCAGACATGTGACCTTGAGAAAGTCACTTAGCTATCCAGGTTTTAATTTGCTTATCTTGCAAAGGAAGGATCTGGGTCAGGTGGTTTTCAAAATCACACCCCACTTCATATTGTTATCATCTATAAAAATTGTTTCACATTGAAAGTAGGCAGGTGATGAGAGAGGAAGCATGAAGAGATGAAATGGACAGAGGCTTTGGCCTTGGACCCTTCTTCCCTTTGTGGGTTCCTACTGAGAACTGTCTGATGGCTGAAAACAATGCTTGCTGGCTCCCAGCCCCTTCTCTCTACAAACCCTGTTGTGAGGCAGCCAAGGTAGCCTCTCACCTTTCAGGGATTCATGCAGTTGCCAGGCTTCTGTTTTCACTTAAACATTAACTTCCACTTTCTGAGATGGAGCACTGAATTAAAGCTCTTGAGAAAATTGGTGAAGTCACAGAAAATTTCAATTTTTGAGTATTTATTGTTACTACATTTACCCATTTGCACATAGGGAAAACAGAACTTTGAGTTTATTGAAGCTTCCCTTTGATTACTATCCCACCCCTCCTACTTATCTAGCTCTTAGACCTCTACAAAATTCATCTCTGAATTATTTCTTCATCTGTAAATTGGACAACATGCCTACGTGTATGGTATTATAGAAGAAAAGTAATTATTTTACAAGTGTTAAAAAATAATCTTCTCTCTCCTTGCGCTTTGTAGTCAAATTGTTTTGGAGAGTATTGGCAGTGATATTGTACATGATCAATACAAAAAATCTACAGAACCAAACATTGTTTAGTAAGGGGCTATGTCTTCAAATGACAAGCTATAAAAGGAACTGCCCCATTTACCAGAAAGATGTTGCCACAATGACTGATTGTAGGTCTTGTACTATTGAATAAGTTGACTGCCTTCTTAAGGTTAATCTTTGTCTGCCTCTGTGACTCTCTGTGGTCTTCTTGTATCTCCCAGTCCCCAAAACTTCAAAGAAGGTCCATAAAAACCTAGGCCTAATGATGAAATCAGTCTTGCTGGTGTTCAGTTAGTCATGCATGTGGAAGCTCTTGGAAAAGGATGAAGATCTACACACACACAAGACGGCAACTAAGAATAAAGTAAGGAGCAGTTTCTAAAAAAGTAAATTAATTCCTATCACATAAAAAGCAAGCCTATAGTAAACACGTGCTGTGCCTCAATTCTGTGGAACTTAGGAGAGAAAGTGTAGGACAGCCCACAAAGGAAGTCAGGAGGTCTGGGTGCTAAATACAGCTTTCCTCCTTGCTCTCCATCTGGGCTGTGACTTGTAGTGTTAGAAAGTGCAACAGAGCTTCACAAACACTGCGTAGGAATCCCAACTCTACAATTCACTCAGAGTTTGCACTTAGGATACTCATCATCTCAATCTCTTATTCTAAAATTGGAGGCAGTACTTTCTAACTAGAGGGATGTAAAGAATGCTAAATAAGATAATAAACATAAAGACCTTGATTTCAAGTTTTACTCAGAGCACATGTTCAAGTATTAATATTGTTTTTGAAAGAGAAGGCTGGAAGATGATCTAAATCCTTTTTTATCTTTAAAATTAGACTCTCCACTCTCCTTCCCCCCCCCCCCCCCCCCCCCCCCCCCCCCCCCAAAAAAAAATATTCCTTGCAGAGTTTGGCACACCCTAAGCTCAGGATTTGTGGGCCTGACTAGATTTAGGAGGAAGGGTGTTCCAGATGGGTAATTGTAAAAATAAAAGCTATCCTATCTTTACAAACCCGGTTGGCATAGCTAGTATTCTGCCATAAATGAATCTGCATGTATTATTCCATCCTCAGTTTATACTTACAAATACAGAGAACCATCTTAGATAATAAAAGTGAGTGCTGAATATTTTTGCAAGCTATTATAACATTTTGAAAGAGTACTATAAACACACACAAGATGTGACTGTATGGTAATGAAATGAATTTTCCTGTGTGTCGCGAAGGCTCATTAGCTTAGAGCTGTGCTCTGTGTTGTTCTACAGAAGCCATGTGTGACATTTCTCACTAATGGCTCATGCTGTCACTAAATATTTGTCTCTAACTCCCTCAGTCTTTGGGAATGCAGGCATCTACTTGTGTATAAATTAATAGCTCTGCAGAATCAAAATGAGGCACCCAGAAAAGTTCTTTTGTTTCCTAAGGGTCCACTAAGATTAAAAAATTCCTTTCCCTAATTATAAATTTGACCACAGTTGTTTCCAAGGTTATATGAAAATTCTTATTTTGTGAGAAAGAATGCTTTATATGATTTGCAGTAAATAAAACTGGCGCATTGCTTTTAACAATTTTACTATTTACTTTAAACTGTGATTTTCAGTTAGGGAGAAAAGTAGGAATACAAACTTACTTTCTTCATCAAGGAAACTTTCAGCAGCTGATAGTAACCTCATCCTGTCTTCTGGGTTTTCAATATTTAATTCAATGAGATGACTCTCTTTTATATCCTTTAAATCTTCTAGGGTCTCATAACCGTTGAGCAGAAGTGTTGAGGTATAATCCTGTGGGGAAGAAAAAATATATATATAAGACAGGCAGATTCAAATATTTTATTTTTAATTCTCTTTAGATATAAAGAAATTATAGAAATGCATATGGTAGCCAAAGATCCTAATAGAAATTTTCCTTTATTTTAGTTGTAATACTTTCCTGCATATGAAGTCTAGGGTAGGTTATATAATTCTCACCTTTTGGAAGGACAAATGTAAAGAAAAAATAATTACCTTAAGCTATGCAATGATAAATCTTATATCAGTTTAATAACTGAATCATTCATCCTATTTGGTGCTTTTTCACTTCTTAACTAGCTAACTAGACAGAGCTAGTGTTCCTTAAGTCTATCAATAAAATGATTCTAAAGGAGTATATTACAATAGTATTTCTGAATCTACATCTCTGTTTGCTTGGTCACAAAAACATCCATTGTTATTAACTTCATGAGTAGTTTAAAATAATGAAACAATTTTACCCAGAGTTTACCCAGCAATTTTACCCAGCATTTTAGTTGAAAGGCATTATATAAACCTAATGAATTGCAGAATTTCTATTTAACTAAAAAAACTTTATTAAGCATAAAGGCAGTGTAGTTGAGCAAAACATTCCCTTTTCTCACCATGTATATTTTGTTCATCATTTGCATCAAAATATATTAGCTTAAAATTCATAGGCTTCTGATTTTAAAGTCTATATGTTATTTATATAACCTTTGTCTCTCTTAACAGAATAAAAATGCAAAGTGAAGTTGAATGCTTTTTCAACTTCCTCAAAAATTCTTCCCATTTTACTTGATCATAATTTCAATATCCTTACTTTAGTTGTTAAAATTGAATAAGAGGAAGAAAAAAGGAACTTATCACCAACCCTGTTTTAACCGAGAGAGAGAGAGAGAGAGAGAGAGAGAGAGAGAGAGAGATTTATTTTTAAAATAGTATATTGAAGAAGAACACTGAATTAGAACACAGAATACCAAAGTTCCCATTCTGATATAGCATCTAACTATGGGTTCTTGGGAAAGTTATTTTATCTCCTTAGATGATTTCCCACCCCCATAGGTCACAGGACAAATAAGTAGTAGAGGCAGAATTCAAACTCATTCTTTCTTTGAAGTGTATCCCATCTGGGATGCAACAATAGTAATGTAGGAAGGGTTGGATAATATGTCAACCTACAGGAAAGTAGTTAGATATTTCAGAAAAATCAATTAAGAAAACTTTAACCGGCTATTGTCTTGATGGATTTTAAAAATTATCGAAGTCATGCTGTGTTAATTTTAGAAATGGATTTCAAAACTGTAAATTGAGTAAGACTAGGTATATTGTATATACACACCATTTAACAAAGCAAATATTTCATAAAAATTTTGCTAATGTAGCAACAAATAGTTGGATTATAAAAACATCAGTTTCCCTAATACAGTCATTATGGGGCTCAATGATCACTGTTTCTAACACCTTCATTTTAAAATATTATATTTAGTTATCTTCTCTGAACTTAATTTTGATCTCTGCCCTACAGAAAATGCAATTTTCTTTTCATTTTTCCTTTTACTTTTCTGGACTTTTTTATTTCTTCTTATTCTCTTTGTCATTCCCATTTAGATGTTTTTCTGGGTCTTTTATTCTCCTGGATAGTTATCATTTTTCATTGCACTTTCTCACATTAATTTTTACTGTCACTGCTAAGTACCATTAGGGTTTAGTCCAAAGGATGTTATATCAAGGCCTGTCTTTGCATAATAAAAGCAATAAAGGAGAAATAAGAGCTGTTCTAGGAAAACATATTTTCCTTTGTTTTAAGTCTTATATTCTTGAACAACACTATGCACACAGTGATCCAATCCCATCAATTATTCCACCTGTATGCCAACCACCAAAAGCTAACAGGCCAAAGGTTTGCTAACCTGAAGGTGAATCCTCTCTAAGAACTCCTGCAGGGTCTTGGGTTTTTCATTTTTACTCCTTCTGTGTGCTTTTATTTTCTTGGGGGCTGCTTCTTCTTCTGAGATGACATCCACATAAATGAATTTGAAGTTTCCCACCTTATTGTTCAACATTCCCGTCCACATGCCCATTGGTGTTTTGCAGATGATGTCGATGATATCTCCTTTCTAAGGGCAAAGACATATCTGAATCAGATTTCAAAGAACTATGGCTATTACATTTGATAGAAAGAATGGAATTATAGGCAACTACAGCAATGAGTACATTACAAAAGAGTTCGGACATAATAGAAATACATCTGAATTTCCTTGCTCAAGGAAATTATTTACTGGTAATGAACACTTCAACATGCTTGGAAAAAAAGCTCCTATATACACTTGTAACACATTTCTGTTTTAGTTATCACATCAACTTAATTTGTATTTATAGAAAACAGCATAATTTATATAACACATACACTAAGTAATTTTATGCTCACAGGGAACCTCATAGATACATGTATGAAGTATAATATCATTATAAATATTATAGGAAGGTAAATTGAGATATTAAATGACTTCTCAAGAGCTTACACAAATTAAATGACAGAACCAGAACAAGTCCAAATTAAACTTAAAAATGACGCTATTTCATTTATACTGTCAAAGCAGCATATATGTAGCAAGGCTCAAGCCATCATTACTGGAGGGACTGTCCAGGGGACAGGGAAAGAGAAAGAAGTCTATGAATGTCTATGATTCTAGTTTACCTGAAAAGAATTCACGTAGAGTACAAAAGAAACCCACGTAAAGTACTTTATCCATCAAAATAATGAAACGCCAAACTTATGAAACACATCACAAAAGTATGTGTGCACAAAATTGTCTACTTAATTCTTAAAGTTCTAATGCTACTTTTTTTTTCTCCAACATAAGGATTGTGGGAGAATTCTATATTGATATTGGCATACTTTTTAGAGCTATTCATTTTATTTATTTATTTTTTATTTATTCTATGTTGTTATACATGACAGCAGAATGCATTACAATTTATATTACACATTTAGAGCACAATTTTTCATATCTATGGTTGTACACAAAGTAGAGTCACACCATTCGTGTCTTCATACATGTACTTAGGGTAATGATGTTAATCTCATTCCACCGTCTTTCCTATCCCCGCTACTCTTCTTATTAAGAGGCGGTAACATGTAGATTGACCTCCAAAGTTTCAATGGACCGTGAGTGAAGTACATTGGGATGGTCAAACCATGTGGTATTTTGCTTATTCATACCTAAGATCATATTTGTCTATAGGTTGCCAGTTATTGACAAGAAGAGAAATCTCCTGGTGATATATATTTGCAGAGATAACTGAGTTCTATGCAAATAAGTACCCAAAGAGTCATAGTTACTCCTTTGAGACATAACTTTCTGCCTCAGAAAGGATATTACTGATTCTAATATTTTTGCCGCCTTAAAGGATCTATCTTAAACAAACATAGCATAAGTCTGTTATTAACTGTGTATTTTCCTTTTGATCTGTGAATCTGTAATTTGTGTAAAACATAAATTTTATTTATAATGGTAGAATTTAGTTTAATTGAAAAATGCAATCTTTCTGACTTGTGATCATCTCGCTATCTGGACCTCTAAGCTATTAGTCTATTTTTTTTTGCCTTTTAATTATGAAAATTAAATTGTAGGCCAGATGCCTAAGCAGACCAGGAAATGTACAGAAGATATAGGAAGTTTCTGTGAGTGGCATACCTTTACTAAATTCTTTAAACTTATAAACTTATATGTTTATAAACTTGTAATTGTTCTTTAAATTTGTAAACTCGTACATTACAGGAAAGCTCACAAACCACCTGAATAGACTCTATTTCATCTTGCTGAAACAATACCATTTCAACCGTTAGTGAGAACTATGGGACCCTTATCCTGTAAGACATCCACAAAAATCACCTCAGACAAACACCAAGAGTGGTGCCTGGTATTTCACGATAGGAAGTTGAAAATCAGTTCTGAGTCAAAGAGCTTTGTGTGCATTCCCTTTTCTGCCCTCCCCTGAAAACACATTCTAGGCTACAAACATCCTTTCCCCAAGTCTTGAACTTGAACTTCAAATCATTTCATATAAATGACTAAGGGAATAACTGTGGGGGGAAATGTTTTTCTTATGCTCCCTCTAACCTCACTCTGACTTGATGTCATCAGAAGGCACAAAGAGAAGAGCTGAGTGCCTTACATGTCAAATAATAATATCAATACTTATTAATATCAACAATATGGTATACCATAATCATTAGTTACCAATGGTTTGGTATTGACAGTATAAAAAATATAATTCATATCCTTTTAGATATAATGCTTTATGATACTAAAAGGTATAGATGTTATAGATGTTATCTATAAAGTATTTTAGCATAAAGCTCTCTCCTATTTGAGCTATTGCAGATAGCCTTGCCTTTCATGGGTGTGAGCAAAGTTATGAACATTGTGGATTTCACACATGTGGTTATATTACCTTATATGACAGAAGTGAATCCACAGATATATTAATGCACTAAATTTGTTGACTTTTGAGTTAATCAAAATTAAGATTAGGTGGGTCTGACTTAATCACATGGGATTCCTTTAAAGAAAAGATATTGAAGCATGTGTCAGCTTTTCCCTCTGGCCTTGAGAAACAAACAACTATGTTGTAGGAAGGGCCATGGCTGGTGGAATTTACAGGCTGAGAAAGTCTCCAGCTGCTCTCCAAGAAGAAGGCAGGGAGTTCAGTCCTACACCCACAAGAAGCTGGATTTTTCCAACAGCAAGTGATCCTGAAAGAGGATCCCAAGTCTCTGGAGTGATTATAGCATGGCTGGCACCTTGATTTTACCTAGGTGATTTCTTAAGCAGAGAACTAAACTGAGTCATGCCCGGATTTATGGCCTATAGAGACTGTTATATAATAATGCATTTGCATTGTTTGAAGCCTATGGCTTTGGGGCAATTTGTTATATGACAATATGCATAAGGAAGGAATTTAAGAGCGAGTATTATGAGGACAAAGATCTCTAGTCACTCATAGAAACCAACTTTAAATGCACTGGAGTTGCCCAGCCAAGAGTAGTTCACAAGACCTTTCCTCAACTGGGCTTTTGCTTGATTTTTCTATCTTTTCTTCCTCTGTCTTCATTAATTTTACTCTAGCAAGTATCAGGCAGAACTGGGCATGTCCTGCAATCTGTGAGGCTTTCAGTTTTCAGAAAAATGTAGACAATTCCTTCCCTGCACCATAAATTTTGAATGTGTATAATCTACCTAACAGCAACGTATGCTAATGTCCCATGGTTTGATCCCTATTATCCCACTTCATCTAGTTTTTCTTTTTTCCTACATCTTTGCCACTGTAAGCCAGTCCCCAGTTCAACTGTTGGGAAGAACATGCATCCCTACTTTCTACGTCTTGTACTTCCTGAAACGGATCATACAACAAGAATTTGACAAAGGATTTAGAAGGCAAATAAGATGTTGACCCACCTTGATTTTGAGGGAATCAGTGTCATAGGGACTTGGAGTGAAATCTGTATGCACTCTGGCACGGCCACAGAATGGTCCTGTGTAGGGGCCATCATCATCCAGTCGAAAGCTGTCTCGGTTACTTGCACTATCTGAACAGCTTGTTATTCCACCTGGAAAAAAAGTAGAGGTCAACAGCTCCTATCAAAGGCTTTTGGCATTCTGAACACTCATCTGGCCACTGAAGCAATGGATGCCAGTCTTGTTTTACCTTCCATTCCTATTCCATCAGTGACGTCTGTCTTCTGAGCTATTTCTGACCTGTTTCCTGGCCATCTGGTACTGTCAATCACTAACCCAGACTCTCTTTTCTTTTGTTTGCTATGATTTGATCCAGCACATGGTGTACTAAGCAATGGACACTGACTGAAGAGCAGCAAGGTATATGGTTAGCGCTTGACCAAGTCAGATAATTTTCATGCACGTGAACCAAGTCAGAAATTGATAGCAACAGTTTGATCTTTGTGCGCTATTGACCATGAATGGTCAAAGCATTTCATTACCAGGTTCCCTGTAACTTATCAAAATTGTAGCAAAAACTCTCCCTTAGAGTCCCTAATTTTGTATCAAAGTCCATTCTGAGGCAATATCTCTGCGTACAAGGTGGTACTTTTGCCTGTTGGCTAAGCGTGAGGGAAAGAGGAAGTGGTCTCAATATCTGGATCCCTAAGTGGTTTGAAACTGTTTTAAACCGAGCTTTTGAAACTGCTTCAGATTCTTGTTTTTTGTTTGTTTTTTTCTGGTCCCCTTCTTTTCTGATTTTGAACCTCAGGGGCAAGAGTTGGAAAAGATTCCATTTTGCTGGTTCCCAGTGGAAGTGCTTCTTCCTTTGCCCCCTACTCTGTGTCATTTTACTTCCTCCTTCTGGCTGTCTTTTCCTTTTCTCTTTAGGGAGCAGCTCGGGTTTCAATATCATCCGTTATGGAAATAAAATAAGATCTTTCAAGAATCTCCATGTATATATAAACTTGCATAAAAGACTGCTGAGTTGCCTCTACTCACAGAAATGAAGTTGTGTAAGATAACACTTAGGAGGGCCACTGGCTCCTCATATTCTCCCTTCAACAATGAATCCAGGTCCAGGATTTTCATGGTACATTATAGTCAATAAAATTCCCCCCTCATTCAGCATCACAATTTAGAATTTGAAAACTTCCAAGATAAATGCATACTAGTGAAATTTGAATTACACACACACATGAGCACATCCCGCAAATGTCTCTGAATTAGATTTATTCACAAAATAGCTGTTCTATAGCCAATAGGAAAATAGGAATAAAATTTAGGATATTTGAAACATCTAGTCTTCATGATCCATCTTCAAATAACAGAGGCAGTTGATTTAAAAAGAAATGGAAAAGGACTTTCAAACATCCTGAAAAGATTAGAGGATTTTAGAGGAGCTTACATATAAAAAGTCATAAGGTTCTATACATTATCAGTAGTTTCATCTAAATATTGTAGCAGGAAATGTGACTAAGTCTTCACTAATTTCCTTCTTAGAAAGATATCAGTGTTCATTAGAAAATCCTTGTTGGTCCCTTGCTGATTCCTTTTTGTCACCTAATTGGTGACATTTCCAACATTTAGTATTTACATATTACTTCACTCTTTACTCATTATTGCTAAAAAGTAAAGAACAAAATTGATGTCAATGACTTGTAATTTTTAAAACATTTCAGGGAAAAAGAAAACTAAAGGTAAAAGAGAGGGGGAGAGACAAAGAACAGGGTTTTATTTATTTGAATATTTAATGTCACGTTAAGCATTTTGACTCAAGATAATGCTGGTTTTCCCCAACATACGCTTTATTCTAGGGATTCAGAATTAATTACCCAACACAAGATTTTTGAGGAACATTCCCAAGAGGCCTGCTGACTGAAGCATTAAAAAGTTTTAAAATGATGGATAATTCTGTCTAATGTATTGTGCATCATTTTGAAGAATATATAGATTCAAAACATCCTACTTTTCACTATTTCTCTAATCAAATAGCTGGAACCTTGTTGTTAATTTGATAAATAAACCCCAGAGGGCAGATTTGCTGTTTTTAATTAATTTAACCCAGTGCTCACATCTAGGATCCTTCTTCTTATTCATTAGCCTTACTTGATGAGCTCTGCCCACTGTAGAGACTATCCATGGAGTCACTGGCTTTGAGGGAGACTTTCTCTGTGTGGGTCCCAATCATGGGGTCACTATTCCGACATGGGAGGGCATCCTCTCCATCTTCCCCATCCTTCAGAAAAACATATCAGAGGTTAAGTGCTAAGAGCAGATTTCCATGGAGATGTTCACTGTGTGCATTGATTTAACAAACAAGACATATTTTAGCAACAAAATACTTAGGAATACATCAGCATAAAATATGAGAGTCATTAATCTTTAGTTCAATTTCTAGCAAAACATTTTAGAGAATACTTGAAAAAATTCCTTAGATGAGACACTGCTTACTGTGGAATTCAGCTGAAATTATAATGGCTCATTTTTGAAAATAAGAATAAATATCATATTAGACTATTTAATCAGAAATACTAGATTTATCAACATCTAGCCATATCTGTTAAAGTACTTTTACTTCAGTATGCTCTCTTTCTCATCTATTTACCACCATTACTAATCCTTTGAGATCTGATACTACAGGTTTAAACCCTGCACAGTTGTTTCATGTCAGTTATTTGTGCTCTACCAGATCACTAGATATGAATAAAACATGCACACTTTGCAATTCTAAAGCAAAGCTTATCTAAGAAGCTTTACAAATCTCATACCGTGCTTGCCACCTAGTCAAGTCAAAAGCAAATCTTGCATAAAATTACGAAAGACAGACAATTTCAAAACAAATTACATTTCCTTGAAAACATCCCAAATGTTTTCCATATTTAGATACTTTGGACAAAGCCTGTGAATTTCTTAATATTTATCCAAATGTAATTCAATATTCCCATTTTTGAGCATTTCTAAACATTGATAAAACTTCAGAATATACAGTGTTAGTCTCAGTTTTATCTATTGCTTTAATTATTCGTTTAGTCATTCAGTGCAGTTTTATAGCATACCTCCTAGGTAGACAGTACTGTTCTAGGAACTGGGGATACTATGATAAATACCAGTTGGCTAACAGCGTCCTTTCTCTAATGAAGTACACTCTAGTGCATTAGGTTATGGATGTATACATGTATATGCGTTTAAAGTGTTTAAGGGGGCTGGGGATGTGGCTCAAGCCATAGCACGCTCGCCTGGCATGCGCGGGGCACTGGGTTTGATCCTCTGAACCACATAAAAAAGTAAAATAAAGATGTTGTGTCCACCGAAAACTAAAAAATAAATATTAAAAAAAATTCTCTCTCTCTCCTTCTCTCTCTAAAAAAATTTTTAAAAATTAAAGTGTTTAAGGAAGAATGCATAAACAAAATAAGCAAAATATTTTCAGAAAATTATAAGTGATATTAAGGAACTACAACTAAATTATGTGAAGGAATTAGCTTCGATGATTAGGAAGCTTGTTTGATTTAGATAAAATAGCCTCCAAAGAACTCTGCTAAAAGGTAACATGTTCTGAATTATTGATCTGAATGATTAGAAGATGTAATTTATGAGAAAGTTTAAATGTAGATTTCTAAGCAATAAGAACAACATAATTGAACTCAAAATTAGCTTGTATTGTAAAGGTTATTGTCATAAGAGAAAGGTCAGTATTTATACATGAGTTCAGAGAAGTGGACTAGTGCCAGTTCATGAAGAACTTTGTAGACTGTGTGGTGATGGTGGAGAAGCGCCAGTTAGATCTCTTTGTACAGGACTCTGCTTTATTGACTGTACTATGCATTGTGAAGAGATCAAGAACCTTGGGGTCGGAGGCAAAATGTTACAGTTTGAGTATTGTTTGTTCCCTCCGAAAAATACATGTTGACATTTAGTCCCCATTGTGAGGTATAAAAGAAAGAAAGCAAACCTCAGAAAGAAAGCCAGGAAAAAGAAAGACCAAAAGAATGCTCAAAGAAACCGAGAAAAGATTATGCTACACATGTAAGGATATCATCACTTGTGTCAAATACAGCTGAAAAGTGAAGTGAGAAGAAATAAAAATGATCATTAGGTTTGGAAGCACAGAGATTACTCCTGATTGTGATAGAGTACTAAGGACACAGTTGTATAAAAATGGGTTAAAAAAGAAAATGGACATAAGACCTATAAATTAACATAATAGAATTCAGAGTCCATAAATAAACTCATATGTTTATGATCCATACATTTAACCATATATTTATAGTCAATTGATTTAAACTGGGTACTACAACAATACAATGGGGGAAAGAACAGTCTTTTTCAACAAACGAAACTGGGGCAACTGCATTTCTACAAATGAATGAAGTTGGACTCTTTTCACACAGCAGATAAACACATTAACTCAGAATGGATCATGCTCCAAAATTTAAGAGCTAAAATTAGAAATCTCTTAGAAGAAAAGATAAGGGTAAATCTTTATGACCTTATGTTAAATACTGGTTTCTTAGGTGTTATACCAAAGTACAAGTGACAAAAGCAAAGAATAGGTCATATGGGCTGCAACAAAATCGTAAACATTCATGCTGTAAACAATGCTATTAAGAAAGTAAAAATATAAGTTGGGTGTGGTGGTACACACCAGTGGTAGTGCACACCCAAAGTTGTGGGAGGCTGAGTCAGGAGGGTCTCACAAAACCAGTCTCAGCAATTTAGTGAGGTCCTAAGGAACTTAGAGAGGTCCTGTATCTAAATAAAATATAAAATGGGCTGAGGATGTGGCTTAGTGGTTAAATGCCTCTGGGTTCAATCCCAGGTACCAAAAAAAGTACCAAAAAATATTAAAAATGTAATTCATAGAATAGGACTTTTATCCAGAATATGTAAAAACATTTAAAACTGGAAAATTAAAAAAGACAACACAATTAAAAACTGGGCAAAGGATTTAAATTAATACCTCTCCAAAGAGATATAGATGTGGTTAACAAGCAAATGGAAAGATGATCAACATCATTAGTCATAACAGAAATGTAAAGTAAAATCACAATGAGATTCTACTTCGCCTCTCGTAGGATGACTAGCATAAAAAAGAAAAAAGACAATAACAAGTGCTGGGAAGAATGTGGAGAAAGCAAAACACTTTATACATTGCTAGTTGGAATGTAAAATGATGCAGCTACTTTGGAAATTGGTTTGGTGGTTTCTCAAAATAATCAACACAGTTACATATATTAATAAGAAACAAAAATATTCCTGAAAAAAATAATTGCAAAGAGATGTTCACATCAGTATTATTCATAAGAGCCCCAAAGGAGAAACAACCCAATGCTTCATCAACTTATGAATGAATATATAAAATGTGGTTTACCTATAATATGGAATATTATTTTGTAATAAACAGGAATGAAGTACTGGTGCTTAATACAACTTAAATTACATTGTTCTTCACAATGTATATAGATGTCTGATCTTTCTGAACATCAATTTCTTCTATTAAATTGAGAGTAATTATACTTTCTTCCACCCAATTTTTGGGCATGATAAGTGAGAGATAAAATACATGTTTAAGTACTTCATAAAGCACTGATACTTTATGTACATCTAGAAAAAGAACCTGTTGAATATTTTTGGAAAAAAAATAATAAAAGAAATGATTAACAGGGTGCACTTACCTTTTCCTCAGAAAGGGCCTTAATGTACTTTTTACCCACTTTTTTCTTCATGGTCCATGAAATGCCTCTCATTTTTTTCCCTAGACCTCCTCCATTACTTGAAGTTTTATTTTGTTCTCCACTTTCAGTTGTGGGTTCCCATTCAGGTGCCTAGTTTGGATTATTTTTTGAAAGATGAAACAATAAATACGTGAGGAACATTGATTTGAAAATCTTGTTAGAAGACTGAATTCATGGACTTTCCATACATTCTGTGCATTAACCTTCACAATTTCAAATAGTATAGGCAAAACCCACATATATTTCAAGTTTTTCAGACCTGATTATCTTTTTATCTGTGTTACAAACACAAAAATTAACACTTGTGATGATGAAGGTTCTCACCTTTACATCTGATTTTTTTTTCTTTCTTTTTATGGTGCTGGGGATTGAGTCCAGAGCCTCATATATGCTAAGTAACCGCTTTACTGCTGAGATATACCCCAGCACCTACATCTGAATTATTTTTTAGAGTATTTTGGCTATTTTAGAAGAGTTTTGTTGAAGAATCATTTTAGATCTTGTTTTTGAGATGAAAAAAAAATAGAAGAAAATACCACATACTGAGTGATTTTTGTCTATTCAGATGGGAGACATTTTATTGAAGAGTTTAGAAAAGCTATAGCATTTATATGCTGAATGAGCATTATAACAGTGTCTTGTTTTTTACAGAAATTGGGATTGTTATGACTATTTTTTAGAAGTTCTGAAGTTAGTTAAATCAGTTGAGAAACTAATTTTTTTCCACCTTGCCAGGTGAGTATACTTGCACATTTTACACATTCTCAAGCTATGGTAAGAGTTATTTGGCTCCACCTCTCCATAATTGGGGACAGGACATGGGGAGAATGGAGGAATTTTGACAGGGCAAAGGGAAGAGAGGGAAGGGGAGGGAGCATGATGGAATGAGATGAACATCATTACCCTAGGTACATGTATGACTGCACATATGGTATGACTCTCCATCGTGTACAATCAGAGAAATGAAAAGTTGTGCTCCATTTGTGTACAATGAATTGAAACACATTCTATTGTCATGTATAACTAATTAGAACACATTAAACGAAAAGAAGAAAATGTAGAGAAAAAAATTATTGGCTCCATCTATTAGTAGAGAAATCTTCATGTAATTCATATGCTGTACTAATAATCAATTCTCTTGTTTGAATTGCTTCTGTCTGGTACTTATTAAAGCAATGACTTCCCATCTAACTCAGAATAAAACACAAAGTGTTTCCAGCCCACAGAGCTCAATAACATAATATAAAATATGTGATGTAGTATAATTAATATATTATATATTATAAAATGCTATATATTGTGTTATATAGAATCATTTTGAAAAAATATTCTTACCCACTTACTCCTAGTAGCTTCTTACATTTCCCCTGCTTACTATTATAATGGTTATCAAAATTTGGTCCCAGGACCAGCAGCATCAACATATTTGGGGACAATTTGTGTTTTAACAACGTTTTCAAGTGATTTTTGATACATAGATGTTTGAAAACAAGTGTAGTAATTTTTTTTTTGCCACCCTAGCCCCCTTGCTTACTTTATCAGATTCTCACCATGATATAACCACAGATCTTCCTTAAATCATCCAGCTTTCTATTCATATATCACATAATAGGAGAGAAATTTTCTAATTGATCACTCTCCCCATTTGTCCATATATCCAGTTTGTTTAATCAGACTTATTCTTGTCCTAAGGACCTAATGTTACTTGATATACTTGATACTATATTTGTTATTTAATTCTTATCTGCATCTTCCATTTAATGCATGTTCCTGAAGATTTTATCTTTTCTTTATTCTGAGTATCTAGACTACTTATATAACTGGTGATTCAAATTTTTAAAATAAATGAACTCTTTATGTTGAACTTCGAAGCATTTTTTCTCCTTCCGAGGACATACTTATCCTTAATACCTGAGATTTGCAAGAAACAAAACTTGTAGGTCATCTGGCTTAGCACTGCCCACCATTCCTGATAGGTGGACAGCCAGTCATTCTCTGAATATTAAAAAAAAAGATGGGAAACTTCTCTTTAGTGAACTTGACTATTTTAATATAAAAGTTTAATCACATAGTTAGCATCATTATTAATCAATATTATGTTTTGCTTGATATCTTACCCCAAATTGCCTATGATAAATATGAATGGACAGCCAATTTAAGCCCTCATTGTAGAAATTATTAATTTCTACATTCAAGGTTATAAAGGCAAAGATTCTTTGCTTAATTCAAAAGCCCTGAATAAAATATAATTTGGAAGCACTTTAAACTGTTAGAGTTTTTCTTTCTTCTCTCTGCTTAAACTTTCTCTGTGTTCATTGTAAGACTATTTTACTAACTAAAACAAATGTGAAAATTTTTTATTACAACTGATTTTAAGTTATTCTCTAAGCTTCAGGAAATGTACTACAGATTTTTTTTTTTCAGTTTTTCTACCATTATTTACAGAAGCTTCAAAGAAATTATCTCCATATATTTTAAGTGTTTACATTTTTTGATGCTGCTCTTCATAGCCTAAGCTACATTTTTATTTAAGTATTTAGTTACAGCTTTGTTTTTGTTTCTGCCTTTTAAAAATATGTGTCCCCCTCTAGACTTCAGGCATCATGAAATAAGTAAGCATTTTCATCTATTATTGCCATCGTACTTCCTGAGTGCCTGTTGGGAATTCTGTCACGGAGTTTGATATGAATTAGTTGAATGGAAGGAGGATGAATGCTGTGTTTCTGAAAAGTATGCAAATTATTTCATCACGTTCACTAAATACTTTCACAAATTATTCAGCCATTATAATTTGTCAATGACTCTGAATAAGTCTGGGTTACATTTATGAGTTAAGTCTAGAATTATAAATTAGATAATGTTTGAACATAGTTATGTATGATTATGGAGAATTAAAAGTTTATACAAGATGCAAACTGAAAACAAAAGTCTTATAAGGCTTCTCTGTCTCTTTCAACTTTTCTTAAGCTTGAAAGTGTTCATAGCTTACAAATATGTATGTAATGGTCACTGATGAGACATTTCAATGCATATAGTAGGACTTTGAGGATGCATTTGAGTAGTCATATATATATATATATATATATATATATATATATATATAT